AATCCGAATAAAAACAAAAATTTCCAGGCTCCATTTTGCAAAAATAACAAAAGGGTCCATCCCGTTTCAGAATCTTCAACAGATGAGGGTGCTGTGACAACTGCTGCCGTGGAAAAAAATGTCATCACCGGGACAAGCGTTGATTAATTTACTCTGTGGGCAGATGTTGAAAAATGAAGAGCCTTTAAGAGGCCTCTTTCTTCCATGGATCGTACATGGCTTTCTCTCCTAAGATCCAGCATAAATCTTTCCAAGCTGCAAGTTTAATTTGCATCTCTGGAGCAAACTACGGGAGAAAGAAGCAGGGACCAAGTTTATTTTCAGGCATTTCTAAAAGACCTCCCTTTTGCAAAACTGCATTTTAGTTGGATGTTTTTTCTGATTCATTTTTTTCCGTTTCTCTGTCATTTGATAAGTATAAATTTTTGGCTTGGTTCAGTCTTTTTTGGTTATTGATGATGTCAAATGCAATTAGCTTGCCTTGTACAAACACAATTTACATTAAAATACCCAGGATGAAATCGGGTTGGTTTGAACCACCCTCATTTCACCCCGGGGAATAACAAGACAAATTGCTGTGGATCTTTCTGTCAGAATATTGCATGACGAGAACCAACCTATCATTTCTCACCTTGATCAACTGAGCAAAGTAAAGTCCGCCGATGTGGTTATCCGTCTTGATGAAGATCTCCCTGAGCTTGCTTTGCCCGACGGGATTGTACTTTGAGTTGAACATGTCAAAACGATGGAAGGTGCTTCGATCCTTCACATAGCGTGTACAAAATTCAATGGATTCAAGCTTTACACAGTGGACAGACACCAATCTGACTACAATGGAAATTGTTACTGCCTTGGAAGACATCCATGTACATAATAACAGCGCCCCTAGCGCCTTCATGGTGGATATGCTTCATGCTTTAAAATGGCCACTATTATTATTTTTGTTCACGCAGCTAAAACCAAGAATGCCGATGGGAAATTTTGTGAAATTGACTTGCAATTTTTTCTACCAATCTGCGAAAAACAATTAAAATGTTTTCTTACCCATATAAATATATATGAAAACAATTTCCCACTTGTGTGAAAAGGCATGAAAGGGTTTTCACACTTGTGTGAAAAGGTGCTCAAATGCTTTCCTACTATGGCTAACTTTCACATTTTTTGGAAAGGAAACCAATTCCTCGGAAGAAAAAGCAGCGTGGCAAAGAATTTTCCATTCACAGGTTATTAAACTTTTAACAGGTGCAGTTGGAGAGCAAATTTTCTTTAATCTTCAGGTTTGTAAGTAACGACTAAGTTAACATCTTCATATACAGTAAAACCACATGCAGCCCCCGTAAACCATGAGTCAGAAGTCACCTCAGCCTAATTCTGACTTTAAAGACCTGAAAAGAATCTTGTCAAATTGGATCGAGAAGGAACCCTACACTTTTTTCAACCACAAAAATGTCAAATTTCATCTGAATGCTGAACCACGGTAAGTGATCATTCCAAATAAAGAATTGATGAATCTGCTTTTCTGATCCACATCTTTTGGGCAGGTCACGGGAAAATTGCCCTCAGACCCATTTCCTAAGATCCAGTGACATTATTTCCACAGGACGTCTTATAACCTTGTCACGTCATCACTTTTTCTGTTTGCAAGTCAAATTGGAATAAAATGTGGCACACTGAGTCTTTAAATTCACATGAACATAACATTTGAATTCTCCACNTTCATCATTCCATTTAACAGTCATTTATAGCCGCACGGAGTAATCTTCAGGCACGACTCTAAGTTAACAGGTGACCTTCATTGACGCCTGAATATTTCAGCCAGGCCTGCAGCCTTGTAAACAGAGCCCAGATTGTGCGGTGTTATACAACTGTCTTTTGTTCACGAACCTGGCTCAGTGCACTGCTGACCTCTTTTCAATAGGGGCCAGATTAGCATGCAGCGGTACTGTGTGGCTCATCGCTGCGGTGGTGGAGAGCTTTTGTCCCCAGTGGTAATCCACTTGCTCTAAATACCCCAAACCCTGGTATACGGTTTCAAAATAACGCTGGGTTATCACCACTTTTGAGAGTGAAAAATGCCGGTCATGCCCAGCAGCCTGGTCTTTTGTTCGGAGTAGGGTCTTTTGTTACAGGGCCCTGTTTCCTTTGTCCGAGTTCGGAGACCCCGGCCACACATATAAACCATACGGCTCCGATTTCGGAGACCCCGGCTGGTAGTGGTTAAAGACTATGGATTTAAATCCGAATGAAAGCAAACATTTCCAGGCTCCACTTTGAAACATAGCAAAAGGGTCCATCCCGTTTCAGAATGTTCAACAGATGAGGGCGCTGTGACAACTGCTGCCGTGGAAAAAAATGATATTACTGGAATAAGTGTTGATTAATTTGCTCTGTGGGCAGATGTTGAAAAATGAAGCGCCTTTAAGAGGCCTCTTTCTTCCATGGATCTTACATGGCTTTCTCTCCTAAGATCCAGCATAAATCTGTCCGAGCGGCAGGTTTAAATTGCATCTCTGAGGCAAACTAGGGGAAATCTGAAAGAAGCAGGGACCGAGTTTATATTCAGGCATTTCTAAAAGACCTCCTGTTTCCAAGACTGCATTTTAGTTGGATGTTTTTTCAGATTTGTTTTTTTTTTTCATTTCTCTGTTATTTGATAAGTATAAATTTTTGGCTTCATTTAGTCTTTTTTAGCTATTGATGATGTTAAAAGCAATTAGCTTGCCTTTAGCTGTGTACAAACACAATTTACATTAAAATACTCAGGGTGAAATAGGGTTGATTTGAACCACCCTCATTTCACCCTGGGGAATAACAAGACAAATTGCTGTGGATCTTTCTGTCAGAATATTGCATGACGAGAACCAACCTATCATTTCTCACCTTGATCAACTGAGCAAAGTAAAGTCCGCCGATGTGGTTATCCGTCTTGATGAAGATCTCCCTGAGTTTGCTCTGCCCCACGGGATTGTACTTTGAGTTGAACATGTCAAAACGATGGAAGGTGCTTCGATCCTTCACATAGCATGTACAAAATTGAATGGATTCAAGCTTTACACAGTGGATAGACATCAACCTGACTACAATGGAAATTGTTACTGCCTTGGAAGGCATCCATGTACATAATAACAGCGCCCTCAGCGCCTTCATTGGGGACATTCTTCCTGCTTTAAAATGGCCACTATCATTATTTTTGTTCACGCAGCTAAAACCAAGAATGCCGAAGGAAAAATTTTGCGAAAAACAATTTAAATATTTTCTTACCCATATAAATGGCAGAAAATATTTTTCAAATTGTTTAAAATAGCATGAAAACAATTTCCCACTCGTGTGAAAAGGCATGAAAGGGTTTTCACGCTTGTGTGGAAAGGTGCTCAAATGCTTTCCTACTATGGCTAACTTTCACATTTTTTGGAAAGGAAACCAATGCCTCGGAAAAAAAAGCAGCATGGCAAAGAATTTTCCATTCACAGGTTATTAAACTTTTAACAGGTGCAGTTGGAGAGCAAATTTTCTTTAATCTTCAGGTTTGTAAGTAACGACTAAGTTAACATCTTCATATACAGTGCTAATCCTCGGCCAAGTGATGTAAAACCACATGCAGCTCCCTTAACATGAGTCAGAAGTCGCCTAAGCCTAATTCTGATTTTAAAGACCTGAAAAGAATCTTGTCAAATCGGATCTATAAGGAACCCTACACTTTTTTCAACCACAAAAATGTCAAATTTCATCCGAATGCTGAACCACGGTAAGTGATCATTCCAAATAAAGAATTGATGAATCTGCTTTTCTGATCCACATCTAGTGGGCAGGTTACGGGAAAATTGCCTTCGGACCCCTTTCCTAAGATCCAGTGACATTATTTCCACAGGACGTCTTATAACCTTGTCACTTGATCACTTTTTCTGTTTGCAAGTCAAATTGGAATAAAATAAGGCACACTGAGTCTTTAAATTCACATGAACATAACATTTGAATTCTCCAT